TTTGCTCTTTCAACCTATACGGATAGGTGTGGATAATTTGATGACGATCATCAACATTCATATCCTTTGGCAAGCCTTTCATGAGACTGGAATTTACTCGATACTTGTTCATTTCATTTTATTCTTCTCCCACATATAATATATTTTGAAAATGGTTTCTGATACGTTTGTGAATGTCAGTATTCCTGCAATTGTTGCCTTCACTCAAGCCCATATCCTCGACTTTATTAGCCTCATACCGTAAGTACTTGGTGGTTTTTCTCCAATATTTGAAAACTATTTTCTTCTTATTGCAGATTTTCCTAAATTCTTATATTTTCTCTTCGAATATATTTAGAATAAAAAAATATTATGCTTTTCTCGGGGTGTGGGTGTTGTACTTGTCACCCACACCCATCCACCCAAAAAGAGGAATGCATTGGGATAGGAGAGAACCACAGAGTAGAAAGAGAGAAAGCATGAAAAACGCAATACGTGTTTAAAGAGCACACAAACAAAAAAAACTAGGGATTGTTTATCCATGAGAGGTGCACAGTCGATGCCCACTGCTAAAGGTTACCAAGAAACCTTATTTGAAGGAAGAGAGGTTATTTCGAGGATCATGGACTGATTATAATATGATCAATCGGCATTACTGCATAATAAATGAAACTATGCAGTGAAATACGCTCTTTGAAATGGTGAAAACCCCAACTCACTCGCCTTTTTCTATCAAAAGTTATCGATAATTCAAGGCTGCCGGATAACTTTCGCGTCACTCTGTAGATTAAATACTGAAACAAGATCAATTATACCTTTAAATATAACTACTCAATAGAATGAACAATTTTTATATGAAACTAAAACATTTATTTTTATTTTGTTGCTTCAGTTCTAATAAATTGTATGAAGATAAAATCTTTCGATTTGTATTTCCTATCTGATTTAAATAAGGAATTCTTTCACAAGGGAAGTCGCCTATATCTTCGTGCAATATCATATTTATTTCCCGAAATCATATGATGTCTTCGGAGAGTATCCCCGGAAACTCCATTATGTCCTAGGGTAAGAGGTAGATAGATAGATAGGTATAGGAGTTATAGGAGATATAGGAGATATAGGAGGTATATGAGTTACAGGAGGTATAGGAGATATTGATTAACTGATACAGCTAATCATTCAATAGTGTTTGAATTTAAACATGTATTCATAAAATATATGGGTGCCACTTGCCGATCCTTGCTCGAAAAAAACAATCATAAAAAAAATAATTGTGTACGATTTTTCCTATACGACCCTTGCTCGAAAAAATCAATCATAAAAAAAAATAATTCTTTACTATTTTTCCTATACACCCCTTGCTCGAAAAAATCAATCATAAAAAATAAATAACTGTTTACTATAACTCCTATATCTCCTATACCTCCTATATCTCCTATAACTCCTATACCTATCTATCTATCTATCTCTTACCGTAGGACATAATGGAGTTTCCGGGGATACTCTCCGAAGACATCATATGATCCAACTATATATTACAGACGATTTGACCTATTTTTATCACGGATTTGAATAAACATTTTTAAAAACCAACATATCTCATCAAACGCCTAAGGCCAATTTTGAATAATCAGGTACACATTTGAACCGCTAAATGAAGATCTATAAAACTAAGTAAGGTCCAGACTTGTACGTCTATCCCTTTAGGAGTTATAGGCATTTGATGTGAGACTCTTGACCGACTTTTCTATGAATTTCTGTAAAAAAGATCACCCTTTTAAATTTTCTTTATTTTTAGAGAAACCGACTTTCTTGTAGTTTCTCAGAAAATTGATTAAGAAGACTTTAGAAAACATCTTAAAGAAACCTATAATACACCATTCGATGCGTCGTCATCTACTCTTTGAAACTGAAAACTGCAGTTCTCTGAAGAGATTTTGTCAAAAGTTATTGAAAAAAATATACATCCGCCTTTCTTTTGAAATGGGCAATAATTCTTTGTAAAACACTACCGAGACCACTTTGCAGACCCCTAGGGTGTGGGTGTGGGTATTCTTTGTCTTCATATTTACACCCACACCCACATCCCACCCTTCTCATTTTTAATCAACTGGAGGGTGTGAGTGGGTGTGCGATTAGATTGAGAATAGATTCCCACCCACACCACCCCACCCTACACCCTGCACCTACACACCCACACTCCCACACCTACACATCCACATCCACCCACACCCCACTCCTAAAACCTTCTAATGGTCGTTCACACATCATGTTTAACCATGTTCATGATAAATCATCTGGTATTACACTTCTGCCGCATCGTATAGGAAAATCATCTGATGAAAAGAGATTTGCTTCAACAAGATGTCAATAAGCTAATTGAGCTTCTAGTTGATGTTGAACTAGTTTAAGTGCTTTTAAAGGATATGGAATACCAATAGGTGGTCCAGTAATACCAATACGAAATAGTTTTCGTGTATTTATTGCTATATAGTCACATGCAAGAACAAGTAAAAGACCAGCAAATTTTACCATACATTATATTTCGACAATGGAAAAGGTCCAATGGATCAAACACTCTTCTCAAAAACTGCTTGGTTCTTGACCATTGACAATGCTAATTTTAAATATAAGCATGAGAGATATTCTTCAGTATTTGTGAATTAGTTTTTTAAACAAGCAGTTTCCCACACTAACAAATATTTTGTCGAATTTAGATCTACTCTGCTTATAGAGCATATCGAGTTACATATTTAAGAATAACCTTTTTCATTCTTCAAAAATCAGTCTCAAATGAAAGAATACCATTTTGAGAATATTCCCATAAAAACATCGATATGTATCTATGATATAAATGAAAAGGAATGTATTTTCTCTAAAATACAGATTTAAAAAAATGTAACTATTCTTTACGAAATTCGACATGTTCTACAATATGAACAGATCAAAAACCAGCTTTGAAGAATAAACTCGTTATTTTAAAAAATAGTTTTCTATAAAACTTCATTCCACTACCTGCGAAATTATATATTGTATATGTAAATATTCAAGTATTTGTTTTCTAAATTTGCTTAACTACACAAATGTCAATAAAGGATATTCTAAATGTAAGTCTTCATCGACTTTTCATCTCAATAAATATGTTTCTTTTTAGAACTGTTTATAAATGAAATGATTAGTTTCGTGAACTTTCTCTATCTGTTAAGCTGACCTCGAGCTAGTATTGCTTACCTCAAATAGTATTTTCTAATACAAAGATATTCATCTTTAATGTGAGAGTTTCTGAAATTATGTGAATCGACACATTTCAAGGAGTTAGGTCATTGCTTTTACGTCTAATATCTATGATAGGGCGCATATCTGTGACACTTCTTTGAAACTATCATTCTTTTAGTTTGCCGTAAAATTAAATTTTCTATAAACTTGATTTATAATATTTTTCTCCATCTCGAGTTTGATAGAATACCTGAAAAAGTGGCGATTGTCTAACTAGATGTTGTGGAAACCAAGGAGTGCAGATATTCTGCTAGTCTCACCTTTCAAACGAATAATTCATATTCAGGGTTGCCAGATCTTCCGAAATGACAGGAAAAATTCCGAATTTTGACTTTTTTCCGAAGGCGTTCCGAATTTCCGAATTGAGATTTTTTTCCGAATTTTAACATTTTTCGGATCTCATACTTTATCTTGCACTTTTGTAAAATATAATAAGTAGTGCACCATCTCTTTTCTTCTGTAATGACTGCCTACTGTACTGCGTTGAGGTTAGTTCGAAAAAAAGTCATAGAAATCATTGATTCTCTTCTGGACAGACCAAATTTTAGACTTAAAAGATGTTAGTGCTTTGCTTAATGGTCGTTAAGTTTTAGATTTGATCATTTTTAATTATGAATGGTGAAGCAGATGATTCAGATTTGAGTGTCAACACAGTTGAAGAAGAATAAGAAATGATATCTTCAACAATTTCTACTGCTATACTAACAGCAACCACAATAACAGTTGGTCCAAAATTAAAGAAAAAGTCGTTTTAAAAAAAGGATCGGTTGAATACGAAACAATATTCCTTCTGGTTAGAAGAAGTTAAAAAAAGATTAAACACCAGCTCGATGCAGAGCATGTTTACAATCTTTTAGTGTTCAATGCGATGGTAAAACAGCTCTTAAAAAACATATGAATAGTGATTTTCATAAAACATGTATGAAATCCTTTTCCAAAAAGTCGATGACTGTCCACCATGTACCTACAATTAGTGAACGACAGTTGAAATAAATAATGCATATTTGTATCTTATAGAAGTGTTTTCAACTATATATATAGTATATACTTTTTTTTTTTCTCGAGTATCTATATTTCCTAGAAAATAATTGACCTTAATAGTGATATAACATTTCAACTTTTTTTTATGAATAAATTGTACAAAAGTAAATTATGTGTGATGTAGACAATATTCTTTTAACATAAATACGGTCAATTTATCACCATAAATGTTAAAAACTTGACTTTAGGTTTTTCCGAATTAATTAAAAGAAATTTCCGAATGTCTTCAAATTTTCCGAATTTTTCTATAAAAAAATCCGATTTCTAAATTTTTGATCTGGCAACCCTGTTCATATTAGATTCATTGTTAAAATGACATGTGTTTTATTATTTAATGCATGTGTCTGGAAAAAATTATTAGAACGTAGATAGAATCTATAAATGAAAAGAAAAACGAATATGAGTCTCGTCCGAATATATTTATTTTTTGTTGATACTTGAGATATTTTCTAACAACAACGATTTGGTCTATTTCTTATCGTTGTTCTGATTGCTTTTATGAAATAACAAACGAAAATATTGATTGACAGATAGAGCTTGTACAAACATCATCAAGATCAATATCTAGAATGTTACCATATTTTAAACTAAAAAATAATATTTAGAATTATTTTTTAACAATAAATAATATCAGTAGATCTGGTTCGAAGAAACTCTTTTTTTTTTCTTCTAACTACTTTTAGACATAAGAAAAAAACATCAATTTATCTTTTAAGTGTCTGTTTCATAGCTTGTAAACAATCTTCACCAGTGACAGTATTAAAATATTCTTTTTTTTCTTGTTCATTATCCATAGAATCTAATTTAATTATATTTGACCACCATTTTCTTTTTGTTATTTGAAAACCTTCTAATGGTCGTTTACATATCATTTTTAACCATTTTTGTGCTAAATCGTCTGGTGTTTCGCTTCGTTCACAACGAATCGGAAAATCATTTGATGATACAAGATTTGCATCAAAGATTAATCGATGAGCAAGTTGTGGATCAAGTTGATGTCGTACAATTTCAAGTGATTTTGCAGAAAGTGGTACACCAACAGCTAATTCTGTAAGACCAATACGAAATGGTTTTCGTGTACCCATAGCAATATAATCACATGCAAGTACAAGTAAAAGACCAGCAGCAATTGCATGACCATCAAGTGAACATGCAACTGGTTTTAAACAATGAAGAGGTGCTGTGATACCACGGTTAAGTGTAGCAAAGACAAACTTATCGATTATTGGTCGATGACGCTGAGCACATCGTTCATACATATCAATAAGATCAAGACCAGCAGAAAATACCGAACTAAATTAAAAATCTTTCTTGCTTTCCTCATCGAATATTTTATCGTATTGATAAGTACCTAATATTAGAACGCAAGTGAACACCTTTGATATGATTAGTTTTTGAAGCATGATCAAAAGCTTGTTCAAGTTCATTAAGTAATCCAATAGACATTGCATTAACTTTAGGTCTATTCATAGATACAGTTCCACCATGGAGACCACTATTTTGTGGTTTCTATGCCGGTCACAAGTCCGGACAAAGGAGGAGTGTTGGACGGAAGGGGTGCAGATACCGCCGTCTGTAAAAACAAAAAGACGAAAGAAACNCGACACTAGATTAATTAAACACGTTGTTTTTGCTAAAATGGATGGAAAATCTAGACGGGGGCGTCCATGCAGAGAGTGGCTGGATGATATAACCGAATGGTGTCAACGCAGTGGACAAGATCTGTTTCATCTTGCGCAAGACCGACAGGCGTGGAAAAATCTGATCTCGTAAATGGTTAGCCCCAACGGGCGCTAAGCCTATGGGACATGATGATGATGATAGATACAGTTAATATAGCATCAGCTAATGAAACAGTTAAATTTTTCCAATGTTGTGGTAAAGCTGCCATTCTATAAAATAGTTATCTATTGAAGACTTTACTTTTGACGTACATTTTACTGATTATTTATTTCATTCTGATTGGTTGTATTCAACGATAAACGAGTTTAGTCTTAAATAGATGGAGTACATTGGAATACGATAGTTTAATATTTATTTTGTTTCTTTAACCATTATTCTTTTATGTGTTGAATAGATAAATGAAAAAATAAACTTATTTCATTATTTTTTGTATTTTCGATTTTTGATACTAGGACAAAAAAAAGATACTTTTTCTTGTACCGTATATAAAGTGAATAAAAGAAAAAAGAATTTGGTCTTGTCAACTAAGCATAACATGAAATGACTGTGATGTATAACATTTGCTGTTGCATTGTTTATGTTGATATTCAGGTTGAATTAAAGATGCTTTATTTAGAATACGAAAAAATCCAGCTTTTAACGTTAATACTTCTTGCTCAGAAACATTTATATAATGATTTGATGGTAGTTGTAATAGCCTATAATATTTTATTTCCTGACTATTGTCAAATTTATCCAGATTATCACATAATGGATCAGCATTGATAGAAGGTGAAGCAAATGATGATGAAAAATAAGTAAATAGGCAAAGAAGAATAAGACAGATCAACGCCATTGTATACGAACGTTTGTCAAATGATGAACCATTACCAGTTAATAGAACAAATGCCATATCTAAAATGAAACTATTGAGAAGTTTTTTAATAATCTTTATTTATAGGAGTTGTTTTACTTTTTCACTTTTAATAATTTAATTATATGAAAAAAAATGTATATTAAAACCTAGTTTATTTGTACTCCAGTGGAAACAGTTTTTATTTCCTATATAGACGTTCTATACTTAAGAAAGCTAGTGATTTTTCTTTTCCAAACTTACATATAGAAGGTATCAAGAGCATGTTGAAGACTTTCTTTACTTACAAAGGACATTTAAAATGAAACATGAGAGAGTAGTCGATGGTATTGATGAACGAAAGATGATCTAATTAAAGATAAAATGTCAATATCGATTTAGTAATTTTACTTAGCAGCGTTGATGATCTAGAGCTTTTATATCTCATAGTTCATTTAGTCTGGTACTTAACTTCACTAAGGGTGTGAGTGTGGGTGTGGGTGTGGGTGTTTTTCTTATCTTCTCCTGGGGTCATCCACACCGACGCCCACACCCACCCCACACCCACACCCACACCCAAAACGTCGAAATAAAAAATATCGAAAACAACGATAAAACATGTCGAACGGTAGAAAATGAAAGTAGAAATCACTTTCACCATCACTCGTACACCCTCATTTCTCTACCGACATATTTATTTTCGACCAAATTTAGGTTTACTGCAAGAAAAATCTGTAATATGATTAAATAAAATCTTTCTCCTTTATAGAGTGTAACTATCATTTTTACAGACATTGTGATTAAATACAAAAGTTTCTTGAAAATATTTTCACCGATACGTCCTAAAGTAGTGTAGTTTATTTGAATACGATCATCTTCTAGCCTTTTGTATTTAAAGAGTTGTTTTATAATTCGTACTCGTCATATCACAGTGGTCACAGAGCTGCTGTGAGCAAATGGAAGATGAATACATAATATTGATAAGTTTTCACAGTTTGTTTCATAGTTTAAGGAAAATTGCTTTTGTTTTGTTCTCAAAAAAAATTATTAGTGTAATTATTGGAACGCAACTAACGAGGGAACATATTCAACTGTCCAATCGATTTTGAGCCGGGTATGTGTGCAAACGATAGACCTCAGTAATTTATTTAATACCCTAGAATGGTTTGGTTTTCCAACCTTCTGTTGTCAAGTTATGGGTCTTTTACTTGATTTTAGCTTATGAGCATAAGATTCTTCTGAGTATCTGAATGATCGAATTTCAAATTGAAATTTTGCTCATAGATAGGCGTTATAAGCACTAGAAACTCCCCAAAGTTTGAACTAGAACGAACGCATCCATATCGAGATATCAGCTTGTCATGAAAATGTCTCTATTTTGAAACAAAGCTCAAAACAGGCGTTTCTTTAAAACGTGAATATCTCGATAAGGATACATTTATTCTGGCTCAAACCTTGGCGAGTTTCTAGTGCTTATAACGCCTATCTATGAGCAAAATTTCAATTTAAAATTTGATCATTCAGGTACTCAGAAGAATCTTATGCCCATAAGCCAAAGTCAAGTAAAAGGCCCATAACTCGACAACAGAAGGCTAGAAAATCAAACCATTCTAGGATATTTAATAAATCGCTGAGATCTATCGTTTGCACACATGCCCGCCCGGTCCAAAAGCGATTGGACGGTTGAATGTTCTCTCGTAAGCCATCCAATTTATTCGTTGAATATTTAAGAATAAAAAAAAGCTAATTATTGAGAAAATAAAAGGCAATTGTTATCGAGTAATAGGAATACAAAGAACTCTCTTTATTTCTAATGCTTTCGCAATGATCAAAACTCTCATGTTCTATTCACTAATCTATTGTAATCATGCGATTTATTAACATAAACATCATTTCATCATCAATATTATCAATTATATTGGAATATGGGAATAACAACAACAAAATAGTACGAAACTCTACCTTATTGCGAGAGATCAAACTCAGATTGAAGATATAATGAATTTGAACGATGAATGTGCTCAGTTGTTTAAGTCGACCATCAAGTAAACAGAGACAATCTTCAAATTCAAACACATTAACACATAATACAGTAAGAGTAGAAGAGAAATAAGTAGTTGGTGGTAGATTACAAATTGACAAGGATGGATACTCGTTTAGAGATGATGAAACAATTGTCAAATGTTTTATATTTTCGAAAAGAGCCAACATATGTACATACACATTTTTAGTATAAGTATCCAACCGCATTTCACTGATATATTCATCATTATTATGAAGAATAAGATCTGTTATTTGATATTGAAAAATATGTCTAACGGCTGAGTCATCTAAGCAAAGAAAAAAGATGAGTGTAATTCAATGCTTTTGTATTTTGATTACTTCAAAGCATGCTAAGTACTTACCTCTAAAAAGAGAAATTTGCTCTTGATCAAAATTGAAGAGTTCTAAAGAAGTCAAATTTGGATAATCACCAGCAAGAAGAATACGTTCCATAGATATTGTTTCCAGAACGAGTTTTTTGATACAGTGATGAAATCGAGGTAATATATAAGTATAAAATCGATCAAGCTTATTATCAGTAATTGATGATGTTCTTACAAAATTGAGAGTGTTAGTAAATACATCTTCTTGAAGTAAAATATCAAGGCGTTCATTATTAATTCCAAATAGCGAATAAAGAACATCAATATTGTCAAGTTTCTTTATGATCATAAGTAATATTTCATTGGGTAGATCAAGAATATGAACCATAGACTGATTCATATTTCCTTATAACTGTCATTGTTCTAAAAAACATAAATATATATTGTTCGTTTTTTCTTCTTCTAACCTTTTCCGTCGACCAAGAATAAAATGTGTGACCGCGATGAAAAAAAAATGTAATATTGATCGATGTGTCGTCCAATATGATTATTAACAGATGCTATTCTCTTTCTAACATTTATTTATTTCATTTTTTTGTGGTCGCTCAACGATGTTTATTCATATAACAGTAGACGAGGTCATGCTCAGTGAAGAAAAGTAGACATGTTTAGTACAATACAAGTTGACTGAATTGTAGTCATTAGAGATGGATGAAGGATTTTTTGAAAGGAATGTGATCATAAAAGTGACAGTGGTCGCAACCCCTCCTCTGCTGTTGATCTGTCGTTGATAGTCATGTATAGACGTGTGAGAGCTCACAGGTCTTAGAACTGAGCTGTCCCACGTCTAATTGATCATTAGACGCAATTGTCAAAAGAAAGAACTGGTCACTGCACCCAGTTCTTTTCAATAGAACTGTATGATAAAAACCAGTTCCGTTTTTTGATCGGGAACTGTCACATGTCTAGTTCTGCAATACTTTAGAAAACAACATATAGTCGTTTCATGTGTTTATAGAAACGATTAATGAAATAAATGCGGAAACTTCGGATTTAAATCCGAGAGTTATGTGTACTTCAAAAAGTGAATCATACAAATCAATCATCCTAGACTGTCTGAATATCAAAATTATACTGTG